CTGGATTGAAGGAAAATAAAAATTCCTTTTGCTTTTCTTTTTGTTTTACATTTGTAGGTGCGGAATTACAAGAAAGACGTGTAAAATTAAAAAGGAGAGAGAGAGAGCAGTGTTTAAACACGTCGAGAATAAAACTAGCCAGATGGGTTTGCGTTGGCTCACACGCTTGTGTGTCTAAACATGTCTGTTAACATGTGTGGAGGAGCTGCATGTTTAGGTCTGTATATGTTGTTAGAAATATCGCTATACACCAATAATTATGCAGCCACGGATAATGTGTAGGTGTTATGTGTGCTATATTTCATTTTCATTTAAATATCGTTTCAGTGTGTTCGTTGTGTATGTAAGCCCTCACTTCTGAAACAATTTCTTTGGAAATTTGGAAAATTAATACACACACACACATATATATATATATGTGTGTGTGTGTGTGTGTGTGTGTGTGTATCTATCTATATATATTTATACATGCATACACATATACACACACTGTACATTGTTCTGACTGGTGTCCACATCTTTGTTTCACGAGGTTTCAGTCATTGTACGCTCCGGGGCTTCTTCAGGTGATATTTGTTGTAATTTCGTTACGACCCTTTATTTAGTAATTGAGATTCGTAGACGTACCCTCCCTAAATCGCTCCGTAAAATACAACCACCCACCTACCCAAGCAGACACACACACATATACACGCACATAGACACACACACACACACACACACACACACACACACACACACACACACACACACACATACACACATATATATATATATGTATGTATATATATTGCATTATATATAAATATATATATATATATATATATATATATATATATATATATATATATAATTTTTCGAATAAGATGTATATTGAGATCGACATTGTGGATAAAGGGTCTGCAGTTAACTTTTGTTCTGTTGTTTTGGCTCAACTATTTCCGACTGTCTCAGTTATTTTCAAGAAACGTGTGTCACACTGGGAGGGAGCGACAAAAATAGACACCTAAAGAATATATCGAAAGCGAGGGAGGTAGTGGGTCACCTACCTAATGAGTCCATATGAACAGGGAGTGGGGAAAATATTAAGAAGTGATTGCTAAGCGCTAAAATTAGTAAAAAGTTGTGGGATGGCCTGATCACCCACGTCATGAAGAGACATAGCAGATTGAAGAAGAAATACAAAAAAAAAAAAATAAAAGTGATTAAAACGCGAAAAGAGAAACAAGATATATCGGATGACAAAATTATTACCTAACTATTGAGCGTCTCGAAATATTTAACAATGATGTAAACGTTAACTTTTGTCTCTTCTCACTCCAAATCTCAAACACATACACACACACACACACACACACACACACACATATATATATATATATATCTGTAAAATGACTCTTAATTTTAGATGATTAAATATATATATATATATATAATCAGCTAAAATTAAGAGTCATTTACAGATATAAATTGGTTATTTTTATTGTTATAATTACATCATAACTTTTATCATATTATTACTCGTTTTATATATATATATATATGTGTCTCTGTGTGTGTGTGTGTGTGTGTGTGTGTGTGTGTGTGTGTGTGTGTGTGTGTGTGTGTGTGTGTGTTACGAACACTTTCGAATGCACAGACCGGAGGATGTAAATTTATACTGTTAAAAAAAGTATGTCTAATTATGCATTCAAATGTAAACTAATAAAAAATATCTATCTATCTATCTATCTATCTATCTATCTATCTGTCTATCTGTCTATCTATCTGTCTATCTAGGAATGCATGAACGATATGGGTGATGGGTACGTAGTTCATGTAATGTCAACAAAAAGTAGTTATTTTGTTCCTCAAATATTTATTTTTCAGCATAATCTCCTGCCTTGTTAAGGCACACAGTACAGTAGGGTAATATTAACCATGCAGATCTATCAATCCTCTATTGTTACCATCAGCACTCATATTATATATATATATATATATATATATATATATATATATGTATATTATTTATTTCAAAATTATAAAATAAATATGTATGTATATCTATATATATATATATATATATATATATATAGAGAGAGAGAGAGAGAAAGAAAAGAAAAAAGAAAAAAGAAAGAAAGAAAGAAAGAGGGGAAAAGATAAATAATATGTGTGCGCGTGTGTGTGATAAAAATATAGTTTTACGGTATCGTACATTTATGGGTAATAGTGTCAGTGTTAAAGATAGCGTATTTAAATATAAAAGTGGACATTGATGTCAACACCGAGCAGTGGCTATTTATTTCATTTTTGAACGCAATAATCTGGCCTGAAGATTCCGTTCAAACATGAAAGAAACTATATTTTATTCGCCTTTAAGCTCGATATAGATGGCTATGCATACATAACCAAATATCCCATCTTTCTTCTACTTACCTCTCCCTTCATATATATATATATATATATATATATATATATATATATATATATACAGTGAAAGAGAGATGATTTGTCATTT